ATAGTGAAAGGGATGTCTGACTGCCCCCAAGGGGTCCCAGATTGAAGAGGGTGTAGGCTGGGCTGAGGGACACCCCTCCCCCCCCCCCGCCCAGTGCATGAATTTCATGCACCAGGCCTCTAGTATGCAGATATTTTTCCAATAAATACTATTGGCTCTTCTTATCAGTGGATTTCACATCTGCTAATTGAACCCATCATGGATCAAAGCCAGTAATTTTTTATTCCTATGAATAGGTCAAGCACAGAGGATTCCTAACTGTGGATCCAAAATACTGGAAACGAGTTAAGTCAGCTCGCGTGAATTGCGCGTACTCCGCGGGAGCCGTCTTTAACTCGGTTCATATAGATTTGCGGTGGAGTGCGGGAAACGTGTAAACTCGGGCCGATTGTAACTGCGTATTACCAAATATTTGTTTGTAATCCAGGGACAGTAAAACAATCAGTGGTTGCCATGGGAGGGAGAAGGGATGAATAGGTCAAGCACAGAGGACTTTTAAGGCAGTTAAAATACCATAATGATGAATACATGTAATTATATATTTGTTCAAACCCATAGAATGTACACCAAGAGTGAACAAAAATGTAAACGATGGGCTTTGAGCGATAATGATGTAGATGCATCAGTTGTAACAAATGCACCACTCAGGTGGGGGAAGGCTATGCAGATGTGGGGGTAGGAGGTGTATTGGAAATAACTATACCTTCCCCCCAATGTATCTGTGAACTTAATATTCCTCTCAAAAAATAGTCTTAATAAAAAGAAGAATGCTATGTGGAGACATGGAAAATGCAAAAATCCAATTTGAATTTCCCTAGATAGAAAATAAAATATATGAGGTGAAAATACAGTGGCTTGAATTAATAGATCAGATATTACAAAATTAAAAGTTACTAAATTTAAACACATAGCAATAAAAATAATCCAAAGTGAAATACAGAGAAAGAGAGAAGGAGGGAGAGGGGGAGAGAGAGAGAGAGAGAAACCATTTGGGTTGTGGGGCAACCTTAAGAGGTCATGTGGAATCTCCAAAAGGTAGGGGCAGAAAGAATATTTAAAGAAATAATGGCCAAAAGTTTTTCAAATTTGAAGAAAACAGCCGACCTACAGTTTCAAGTAGCTCAACAAACCTTAAGCACAAAAACATAAAGAAAACTACACCATGGCACACCATAATTAAGTTGTGCAAATGAATAAAGAAAACAAAGTCATAAACTGAGGGTGTTAAAGGGCAAAGAGGGTCAAATATATGGTGATGGAAGAAGATTTGACTTTGGAGGGTGGACACACAATAAAATATACAGATGACATATCATAGAATCATACACTTTTTTAAAAAAATATATTTTATTGATTTTTCACAGAGAGGAAGGGAGAGAGATAGAGAGTCAGAAACATGGATGAGAGAGAAACATCGATCAGCTGCCTCCTGCACATCTCCCACTGGGGATGCACCCGCAACCAAGGTACATGCCCTTGACCGGAATCGAACCTGGGACCCCTCAGTCCGCAGGCCGACGCTCTATCCACTGAGCCAAACCGGTTTTGGCAAATTATACACTTTAAACAAATAATTTTATGAACTAATGTTACCCCAATAAATTTAATTTTTAAGAAACCAAGTAGAGGAAAAAATAAAGACATGTACAGAGGAACAAAAATGAGCACCACAGATTTTTTTATCAAAACAAGAAAATAATTCAATAAAGACACTGGAGCAATATCTTCAGAGTAAAGTTTTAAAATGGCATTCAGAATCATATGATCTTTTCAATAGATGTAGTAAAAGCTTCAGATAAAATATAAAATCCATTTCTGAACAAAAATCTTGGTGTATTGGCAATAGAAGATGGCTGTCTTAACTGGATAAATGGCATCTACAATAAACCTACAGCTAATATCATAGTTAATCAAGAATGTTTCCCATCTAAGGTTGGGAACAAGGCCAGGATGTCTGGTCTTATCACTTTCATTTAGCATCATGCTGAAAATCTTAGCCAGGGATATAGGGCAATCAAAATTATATCAGGCTTTTTTGAATGCATGTGTGTGAAAAATGGTAAGTCTATTATAAAATTCATATGAAAATAATTCAAAGGTTCTAAAATAGCTAAAATAACTTTGAAAAAGTTGGAGGAATAACATTACCTGATTTTGAGACATAAAGTAAAACTGTAGTAATCAAGACCTTGTGGTATTGGCATACAGATGGATAAATACATCAATGGAAGATAATAGGTAATTCAGAAATAGATACACACATATAGAGAGAGATGAATTTCATTAAATGTACAAAAGCAATTTAGCAGAGAAAAGATAGTACTTTTTTTTAATATATTTTATTGATTTTTTACAGAGAGGAAGGGAGAGAGATAGAGAGTTAGAAACATCGATGAGAGAGAAACATCGATCAGCTGCCCCCTGCACACTCCCCACTGGGGATGTGCCCACAACCCAGGTACATGCCCTTGACAGGAATCGAACCTGGGACCTTTCAGTCCGCAGGCCGACGCTCAAAAAGATAGTACTTTTTAATGTCCATAAAAAAATTGATGAGATTGAGCCTATAACTTATACTATATTCACAAATTACATCAAAAGGTATCATAGACCTAAATATAAAACATGAAACTATAACATTTATACAAATGCAAAACCAAAAATTGGTATAATATTTGAACAGCACTTAACTAAAAAAGATAAAGGATAGCACATGAAAAGATGCTTAAAGTCATTAGCCATTAGAGTAATGCAAGATAAAATCACTGTAAGATGCCGCTACACACATATTAGAATGACTAAAATTTAAAACTGGTCTTATTAAGTGTTGGGCAGATTTTTATGATCTAGAATCCCCATATAGTGGTAGTGGAAATGTAAAATGGTGAAACCACTTGAGAAAGTGTCTTAAAAATTAAACATATTCCTATTATATGTCCAGCTATCCTACTCTTAGGTATTTATTCAAGAGAGATGTAAACATATGTCCATACACATATGTATGCACAAGTGTTTTTAACTGCTTTATTTTTAACAGCTAAAGATTAGTAACGGCCCAAATAGCCATCATACGATGAATGTATAAACTATGATATTTTGATATAACAAAATGCTGCCTAGCAATAAAAAACTAACTGCTCCTAAACCCTACACCATGGATGGATCTCAAAATAACTGCTGAGTGGAACCACACAAAAGAGTGCATACTGAATTGCCTATTTGTATAGAATTCTAGAAAATGAAAAATTCCGGATAGCATGGGAAAGCAGGTCAGTGACTGCCTTGGCTTGGGGGGTGGGGGGAATTCAGTGATGGCCTCAGGTCATGAGAAGCTTTTTGAGGGGGTGGGTATGCTTATCATCTTGTCTGTGGTGATGACTTCATGGAGGTATACATAAATCAAAATGTAAACTTGTAGACTTTAAATATGCAGATTTTATGCTTTGTCAGTTATACCTTAATCAAGCTATTTTTAAACTTTAAAACTTCCAGCTTCTCCTGAGAAAGCTCTAGGTGCACTGCATCTGCTGGACTGTGCTGTGACAGAAGCTGTCCCTTTTCTATCAGTCACCCGCTGTCAAGCTTGCCACAGTCCCTGTCCCTCCCCTTTGTTGCTGTTATCTTGTCTTATTCATTTACTTGACTGCCTTAGGAATTTGAATTCATGTCTAGTGATTAGTTTCTTGTCTTCTGTTAAAAAGCAAAATACGAAGTGAAACAAGCCAGTCAGAGAAAGACAAGTACCATATGATCTCGCTTATACGTGGAATCTAATGAACAAAATAAACTAACAAAACAGAAACAGACTATTAGACAGAAAACAGACTGACAGCTGTCAGAGGAAGGTGGGTTGCAGGGATGGGTGAAAAGGTGAAGGGATTAAACAAGACAAACAAACAAACAAAACCCCCCCCAAAACTTTTAGACACAGACAACAAAATGGTGATTACCAGAGGGAAAGCAGGTGGGGGGAGGTCGAAGAGAATAAAGGGGAGATCAGTGGGTAAATGGTGATGAAAGGACTTGAGATGGTGAAAACACAATATGCAGAGGATGTACTATGGAATTGTACACCTAAAACCAAAGTGTTCCCAATAAATTCAATTAAAATATATTAAAATAGTTTCTTCCATCAGACTTTAAGGGAGAAACAATCCAACTCCCTTAACTCAGTCTATGGTCTCCTCTGTTGTTTGGTCTCAACGGATTTTCCAAACCCATTTCTTATCAGCCTCTATACGCAAGATGCTCTATATCTCTTACACACTATTGCCCACATTCCCAAATAAGCTGTTTGTGTTGGGTTTGCTTACTTAGCATGCTAATGAGATCCCTGTTGAAACTATTAACAAAGAGAGTAGGAAAAAAAAAAAAAGGACTGCCTTTGTATTCATGACTAGGGACTTTTGTTTCTACCAAATGATTATTGGAATTCATTTTAGGTCTCTTCAAGAAGGAGTTGTAAAAAGAAAAGAATCCTTGAGAGAGAAAAAATGATTTCTTGCTGTTTGGTACAAGACATAGGAGATTTAAAAATAAATGACCTGGGAAAATGAGAGGTTGTAAAAGTTATGAGCAACCATTTCATCAGCACAGCCTGGTATAGATGCGACGGGCCAGGTGTTATCCAAAGTCTCTCATTGTCTTTAGCCATAAATCTTCAGATGTCAAAGTATTGTTGAATCGAGCCTGTAATTCCTAGCTGTTAGGTCAACCTGTTACAGATAAGGTTGTAATCTTTTTTTTTCCCTGCAAAGTCACCCAAACCCTGTCAGATTTTCTTATTTGAAATATTCTTCTTACTACTTGCTTCCAAAGCTGTACAATAAATAATAAATATCATGAGAATATTAAGCAAGTTCATAACATTAGTTTTATTCTTTTTGTAATTTGCATAAATACTGTCAACATGAGATAACTGCTTATATATCTTGCATGCCTGTCTCACATGTATACTCAAATATTATATTATTTGTAATAGTTTCACATTATATACTCACAAATAAAACTTCTCATCCCATACTGGATTCAAATTTCCAAAAATGGTTTTAGTTCTTCTTTTGTTCTTTCCAACTTGAACTGTAACATATGGATCACTGGACCCCGTTTTGTCTTTTGCCTGCAACCCTTGTGCAGAAACCACTGAAATAACAAAAACAAACATTTTAATATAAAGGTTTCCCCAGAAACAATAATGAAGGAAACTTTTCTATCACTTTGCCCCTGGTTTTGAAGATGCATCCCCATTGCTTTTATTCTTATGAGCAGCAGGACTTTAAAAAAATGTTTCATAAAATTATGAATACACTGTACATTAAAATCTTCTTTTGGACTAATATGCTTTTGCCTGTAGTAAATAGTAAAATATATCTATTAGAGGCCCGGTACACGGATTCGTGCACTGGTGGGGCCCCTCAGCCTGGCCTGCGCCCTCTCGCAATCTGGGGGCCTGCCTGCGGGGATCAGGCCAAAACGGCAGTCCGACATCCTGGAGGGATGTAGTAGTGGGCAAAGTGGTAGGCAGCTGAGGAGGAGCCTGAGCCAGGACCAGGCGCTGCGCTGCTCCCACTCATCTGGGCCCTGCTGTGCCTGCCGCTGTGCCAATAGGTAGCGCTGCCATGGAGGCTGGAGAGGCTCATGATGCCACAGCTGCACTCACAGCCTTGAGCTGGGCTTCTGGCTGAGCAGCACTCCCGCTGTGGGAGCACAATGACCACCAGGGGGCAGCTCCTGCATTGAGCTCTGCCCCCTGTTGGTCAGTGCATATCATACCGACCAGTCGAGCAGTCAGTTAGGCATATCTATATATCTATATATCTATATATCTATATATCTATATATCTATATATCATCTCTATATCTATCTATCTATCATCTATCTATCTATCTATCTATCTATCTATCTATATACATGTGTAGAGAAATAACCATGCACATATAATATGCAAAAATTTCCACAACATAATTCAAAGGCCTATAATTTAAAATTACTTATTTATTTATGAGTTTGCTGTCAGTACAGATCAACTCAACCCAATGAAAGAATTATCTTTATTCTACCTTGTAAATACTCTATCAGTAAGTTAAGAGCCTTGGTAAATCTTAACATAATAAATAACACACCTAATGTTAATGTTACAAGCAACCTCAGAAGTTCAAATTACTAGATATCACTAAACTCAAATTTTCTTGACTCAAAGATCAAATGGATGAGAGTTATTGATCCAGGAGTAAGTAAAATGTTATTTGTTTTCTATTAAGAAAAACTGACTGAGGAGATTATTGGGTACTCTTGCAATTTATTTTTTGCAGGAAGCAACCAAGCTAATAATCTCTTGTAAAGTGCAGGATATTGATGGGTCTATTGTAAAACAGAACCTTCTTCCGCTGGAAGAGCTTTCGATTAGACCAAGACACAGCTTTTGATTAAACAAGACACAGATAGGACAAGACAGCACTTCAGTTATCCATTATATATTTTAGAAATTTGAAGTACCAATTAGACTTCTTGTCAATATTGACAAGATTGAAAATTATATTTATTTTATCTGCAATTATTTTAAGCAGTGATTCCCAAGACATAAAAACTCGATGCTGAATACAAATTCTAAAGACTTATTTTTACCTGTAATGGTTATTTTTGCTGACCACTTAGATGTCCCATCCAATACACTCTGTTTGGCTGCCTTTGTGTACTGAACAAAATCCTCTTTAGAAATCTGAAACATTTCTTGAATTACTTCAAAAACCTCTGGCCTGTTTTTTTCCCTGATCTTCATTCTTTCTTTCATAGCTGAAATAATAGTCTGAGTCTTGTCTTCCGCACCATGCTTAGAACTCTTCTCCGCTGCTCCTACAATGGAAAAATCAATGGTGGTGTAAACGCATGTCTGCTTACTTTGAGACGGCCCAAGAAAGGGAGGAAAAGGAGGAGGAACATGAGAATGAATGAATGCTTTTATGCTGAGGAGTCAGAGCGGCTTTTTTGGACAATAGGAGTACAGGTCAGAGTGCTGAGATTCAGGACTTGTGTTTTTGGCAAGTGAATGCACCTCAGTGAGCCCTAGTTTTCTCACTTGTATTATTGGACTAAATCAGGGCTTGTGCAAATATTTGGTTTGAGTTTTCAGAAACAAATTTGCAAAACCCTCAAAAGAATGAACATAATCAAATGTATTATATACTGCACGCATCTACTAAATGGATAACCAAGTCAAATTGGGAAATATATATGGCAAACGTCACTCAAAATCAATATGTCAAATACTTGTGTCCATCCAAAGTGTCTAATATTTTTGTTGATGGAATTTATCATAACTAAATGATTAATTTTTTCTTATAAATTAAAAACCACCACTATTTGTTGTATTTTGAAATACAGAGTAAGATTATACTTGAAATGAAAGTGATTCTGCTGTTTAAAAAAGATTTGAAAAGCACTAGGCTAGAAAACCTCTGAAGTATCGAAGAGACCATAGACTTGACTTATTATTCTATAATAAGGCCATGGTTTTGAACAGACTGAATTCTCACTTTCCACTCAAAACTTTTATTTTTCTAGGACATTGTGTGTTTTTTTATGATTGATCTCAAATTTCTGGGCTTTTTTTTTCGTTTTTAACACAAATCCTCTGGCAGTGAAGTATTTCCAATAGTTCATTCTTGGATCCCTCACCTTTTCCAATTACCAGACAGATATTTTCCATGCTTTGTCTAGCCTCTGGGTTGCTCAGTATTACAGAACAAATAACTAGTGAACCATGATTTCAACTCTCATAGTTTTTTAGTGAGTTTGAAGTGAGAGAGCAAAAGCCCATCTATAGGAACTGCCACTGCTGAAAACAAATATTTTTTTGGCACAGAAGCAATTAAGATGTAGTGAAAAGAATAAGAAACTTGTGTTCATAGCTCGTAATTGTTCCAATATTCCTCTACCTGACTAAGGATTCCCAATGTGTATTAGATTTTTTGAAATATTATATTTCTGAAAATAGGTATACTCATACAGTATTTCATAAAATGTTAAGATTAAATGGGATAAATTATCTGCACAATTCCTTCTAAAAGGATAGCCTCAGTAATCTTTTTTCAATCGAATTCTGTGAATCTTAAGCCAATTTAAGTATAGAAGCTAAAAGAGAAAAGGTCAACTACTAACTTTCCTTTTTATAAATTCATATACAATTTGACAGCGGTCATTTAGTGAAAATCTTTATTAATTTGAAAGTATAACATTTATTCACTAAAGTGGAAAAATTTGTTAATAATAATCAAGGTGTAATTAGAGACAGTTAAAAGAGAGGTGCATTGTACTACTAGAAACAACAGATTCCTAGTCATTATCTTTAATAATAATATTATAAAAACACACAAAAGAACCTTTGAGGACAAGTCACATTTTTTAAAAAAGTACTATAAATTAGTGCATTCCATTTAAAGTAATTTGCCATTCTAAATGCCCTAGTCCTCTGTTAAAACATGCCCTCGAACAGCTACACATTTGTACATTATGTACCATTAAGCAATTAAGCATTTTTATAATTTATCAATAACTGTGGACTAAAAGGGGCCACATACTAAACCTGACAAGCTCAGGGAAGGCCTGCATGGCTGCTTTACAAACTCAGAGACCTAAAGTAACCACATAGGATGGTCTGAAATTAACACTCTTTTAAAAGCAATTCATGGCAGTAGTCATGTCCTAGGGCAGTATTTTTCCCTAACAAAAGTCAGTCTTAACTTATCTATCTAGTCTGTCCTGTTTTTGCATCTAGGACAGCTGTGGGCAAACTACGGCCCACGGGCCAGATCCGCCCGTTAGAAATGAATAAAACTAAAAAAAAAAAAAAAAAAAAAGACCGTACCCTTTTATGTAATGATGTTTACTTTGAATTTATATTAGTTCACACAAACACTCCATCCATGCTTTTGTTCCGGCCCTCCGGTCCAGTTTAAGAACCCATTGTGGTCCTCCAGTCAAAAAGTTTGCCCACCCCTGATCTAGGATAACATACCTGATAAACATGTCTTTGTACCAACAAAGTAATTTCCCCTTAAAGCACAATCATTGTACCAGAGCATAGAACACACATCCCCTCATTCTTATTGTTACTGTGTTAATTGTTAACTGTTAACTTTCCTGCACCCCCCTGTGTAAAATAAATGTGTCTATCATCTTACTTTTTATCCAATCCCAGAGGTTTCCTCCTGTCCCTCACTTTACTTTCTCCTGCCTCCCTAATCTCTCACTAATAGATTTCATGTAACCCACTTATGCCTCCTCTTTTGATTGTAATGCATAAAATAAGATGCACAAGTGTCATTTTCTGGAGCATTTTCTCAGTCCCATGAGGTTTTGCTTCCTGGCAATTATCATGAGTTTGCCTCAAATAAACGTATAAAAATTCTTACAGGTTTGGATGTTGCTTACGTTGGCATAACTTCACAGCACATAATTCTTACACAGCAAAATTAACTTAGGCTAGACTAAACACCAGCTGCAATTGTCACCACTGCAACTAGCTAGTTAATATTAATAATAGAAAGAGAGCAAAGGAAAGGGCAGACATTGTAAACATAGTCCTCTGGGCAGCTTCACCAGGAAGCTTTAGTTTTACACACCCCCTAGGGAACCACAGGTCTATTCCCTGTAAATCACTGGGGATAGGGGTCCAACAAAGGGGAAGATGGGCACGTGTGCAGTGAAGTCAAGGTGACATATGACAGATGCGTGTCAGCCAGTGAAAGCTGGGAGAAAGACAACTGACTAGGGGAGTGGAGCCACTGCAAGCACACAAAATCCTGAAGGGTTGTTTGGTTAGGCTCCCAGTTTTAATCCCCAAGAATTGTGTTTCTCTTGTTTGTTTGCTCTTGCTCTTCTGCTTCTCACTTGCTCTGTAACCCACACTTGCCCATGCACGCCCCAGCCATGTGGACCCCACACGATGGACTGCAGCTGGGAACAGGAGCTACGCTGGCCAGATGCTGGCTGGACTGTGCTGGAACATGGAGCGGAAACTCGGGGCAGTGGCTTGAATCCTTGCCCTGTGAAGACACCGCTGGGCTTTTTCCACGGGGAGACAAAGGGAGATGGGACCTTGGAGGGGAACCCTCTTAGTTTTACACCAATAAAGCTTTCCATGGTACTTCATCCTCCGATGGGGGCCTCAGGAAATTATTTTCCCCGTGGCACGCCAAGAGCTCCACTTTTACCAGTAATAGGTGGGGACAGAGAGGGCACCCCACCAATAACAGGATTATTCAACGAGCAGATTTTATAAGAACTGGAATAGTTATTAAATAGAAAGAACAGTGATGGCTTGAAAAGTTACCTACAAGATTAAAAGTGTCCCAAATGTTTGGTTTGCAAAGGCCATTCTAAGAATGTTCAAAGAGAAGTATCATAAAAATGTTGACTCCCTCCAATACTCTGAGCAACGATTGATTATCTTTGTGATAATGAGTGTTTCCCAACAGCTCCAGGAAAAAGTATTAAAGTCCCCAAGAGTTAAATATATTTTGGAAGTGTTTTGTTTTTTTTCTAAATTTAGGAAGAGCCAGCTGACCACCACCACATAATAAATGCTCATTCAAGTAAACACTATTAAATTCAAGGCTGGAATGTCAAGAGATGTTTCATTTAAAGAAATCAAATCTCTGTACTTAACAATTGCTCCTTGAATTAATTAGGAAAGCATCACATTCAAAAATACTCTTGATGTTGGAGTAGAAAATCTCTAACTTGTACAGACAATAGATCCACAACTTGTGAAAATGACAGGCTAAGAGAATAAGTTAGCAGAGACTTATATTAAAGCCTTTTATCTGTTATTTCTAGGAAATATGCAAGATGTCCCCCCAAAATGTATACACACCTTAACAGCTGATAGCTCAATTCTGAAAATAAAGTGTATTTTAATAAAAACTCCCTTTATAATTACCCAAAGTGTATGTATACAGTTTGGGAGGACATCCTATATGTATAACTTTTTAAAAGTCCTACTTTTATATTTTTGATCTGAAGAAAATAATTCAACTTTGATTTGTTTAGTTCAGAGATACAGAGACAATTCATAATTAAGTTTTGTCACTAACCTATAAATACTTTTTATTGCCCTATTGTGTAAACCCACATATATTGTCTTAAAAAACACACACACTATTTCTTAAATAGGTACAAATTGTCCTGAATATTTGTCTCAAAGTCATCAGAGATAAACTTATATTTGCATTTATATGAGTCTTCCTTCAAAGTGTCTAGTACCTAATTGAAATATAGTAGTATGTCAACCAGAGATAAAAAAAAGAAATCAAATAAAAAGAGATAATGTACAGTAAAAGCACTTTGTAAAGTATAATACATTGTACAAATGTAATGCATCATTGTTATTTTTAAAAACAATTAATTGACAGATCAGTCAATACAATTATGAACAGCAAAACTGCAAAAGGATTTGACCTTAAACGGAGGCAAACTTATCCCACACAATTCTCTTCTACATAATTTAATGAGACAGCCAATTTTTATTTATTACCCAAAATATAAATCTCATGGGAAATTCACAATTTCACCACCTTTATATGGCAATTTACAATTTTAGTGCATCTTCCAATAATTATCTATCTATACGTACCAACTGCAATATTCTCCTTGGTCTCAGTCTCTTCTCGCCTACTTTCCTCAACAGCTGTTCCAAACACTTCAGCTCTCTCCACCTATCTCACCCCCCTTACCCTCCAATCTCAGTAAATGATCTTATATTTTCCTTAACAGATGAAGAGGTTTTCTAAACTCAGTGGTCACATCCACTCCTACCCCCCTCCCCCCCGTACACAGAAAAAACAAACAAACAA